TTCCACTCTTAGTGGGACTCGAATGCAGGCAGTGAGGTGCATAAGCTCGAGACCTTACCACCAAAAATAGTTATGAAAACCAGTGCGTCACAGAGTAAACGTGAAGTCTCTTCTATATCGTATTTATTGTGGGATTTTCGATAAAGCAAACATTTGCTTTTGAAAAATCCTTTTTGGTTTTTTACTTTGCAATTTATTGTTAAGCAAGGTGTCCCACTCTGACGATGTCTGCCAAATGAAGGACGAAAGATCTGTAAGGATTCATCCGCGTCACGAGACGGTCAGTCGAGGACTTATTCGCACAAATCTAATCATATCTCAAAGACAACCCCCCTACGGCTTCCGGTGAGAACAATTCACGAATGCTTTGCAGTGACAAGAAGACATCGGTTGCAATACAATGCGAATCAACGGACGTCTTCTAATGAGATTGGCTACAAATCTCTTCATCATATACTTCGATATAAACGATACTTCATCAAGCAATTGTATTACAATTAAAATCGACTACGTTATTTATATTCGTTTAGAGAAGTCTTATAAACCATCGAAAAATTCTGAAAAAGAGTTTCTTTCAGCCTAAACCACATGTGATATAGATAATGAAACTTTAAAATATCCTTTATTTATATAAGTATCATCTTAATTTAAAAAAATTAAACTAGACATTATAGGGAAATTTTGCAATAAAATGGGGATTTATATTCTTAGAGAAAAATTGCCCAAGACTCCGTATAGGCAATCAAGATAGATTAGGTATAAAGCTCACATTTAAGTTGAAGTCCATATAATTCATAGAGGGATTGGAGGTGGAATCTAGAAGAAGATATGCTAGACACGTGCAGCTGATGCGCCTGGAAGATAGAATAGCATCTAATAATCTAAAAAATAAAATAAAAACAATGACCAAAGTTGGATAACCAGTAGTAACAAAAAAATTTAGGAAGGATATGAAAATCCTCTCCCAGAAAAAGTAAACTAAAAAAATAAAATGTTGTTAGACCTTGTTTTCGCAACTTGGTTATATTGTTAGGAAGGCTTAGAGGAACTGGTAGTCTCGAAACTCTACTTACATACGAAGCATAATAAGTTTTGTCGGCCGTGCCCAAAGAGCTCACTTTTAATGAATACTGATCAGAAATATCTAAGCAAAAAACGCGAGCAGTCTGGATTGCTAGACATTCAAGAATTTTAATCGCAAGCCATTTGATCACAAAAACTTAAGCGTAAGACAGCCATCTACTTAGTATTTATTTAGCTTTACTCTATACATTTTATATAATCTAATCATTCAGACTAAATATAGTCAAAAATTAAGCTGTATGTTACATGATATGCATAACCCCAATAAGGAATGACACATTTTAGGATAATGGCATCATAGACTCAAAGATCTCAAAGAAAAGATAATGATCAGTATGGTTTTTCTTGAGGAGCAAAGCAAAGGATTTCTTTACATAACATCTGAAATTATAATAGAAGTGTGTTCGCGTTTTATTTATTTACGATTAATCCATATAAAACTTAGTCAATTTTTATTTAATCATAAATAACAGGAGATTATGTGGCCTTTATCATTATCGCATTTTCCTTTCGATGCATTAGTGGGCACTAAATCATTCATTTTTATGGATGCAGAAATACATCCTTGCATGCATCCTTCACTCTTGAGGAGTGTAATATAAACAAGTCAGAAATTGTGATAGGGCAGGAGTATGATAAGAGGATAGGAAGTAGACATATGGGCCAGAGCAGAAAGATGAATAGAACAACCGTCTCGGCACAAATTTGATTAAGATATTGACTTCACATGTCTCTTTGACGAGTTGTAGCTTGGTGCTGAGAATGGTAATACTTACTGACGGTTCCGACTACGGAGCTTCTCGGTCAGGGCTTTCTTTGAGGTCATTAGGCGTCGATGATTAGAGCCTAACTTTAACCTTTTGATAACTCTGATTTAAGAGTGGTATCGCGTATAGACGCTAACAAAAACACACACACATACACTCGAGCAAAAGTAGCAGGACAAGTATGAAAGATAATTAGCCAAACCACTATATATTCATCTAGTTTTTTTAATTTTTAATTTTATTTTGGCGTAACTGAGTCTATATAAGAGGTAAGATAAAGCCGGATAGTCTTCCTGGCCTAGATTTAACGAAAGCCTTTTGCAAGAATGACACTCAGCTCTGATGATGTCCATCACATGATGGACGAAAGCTTAGCACGTTTGCACCCGAAACGAGGGAGGGAGTCTAGTGGACTGCGTCAACATGAATATCGTATAAAATCCAACCGGCTTCAATACAACGAGTTTCACCCGTCCTCATCTTGTGAGATTGACCAACGAATCTCTGCTTCATGCACTTTCATACGAAATGAAGGTTCACCTAACATACTTAA